TTTTCATCTTGAAGTAGCAACAGGAAGTTGTAAAATATTCATTATGTCAAAAAGAATATTTTTATATATGTGTGTATTCATAATATGAGTGTAATATATATATGTGGGGTGTGTGTATATCTTTGTATGATCTGGCTGCCTGATGAAATGACTAAATAATATGATTTTGTTTTGCTATTTCAAGGGAGTGAAAAAAATAGACCCTGAACTCTATGAAAAATTTGTAGACCACAAATTTGGAGAAGAATCTTTGTTCCGAATAGACCTTTGTTCCATGCTGAAAGAAAAGCAAAGCAATGGCTACTACCATTGTGAATCTTCCATTGTGATTGGTGAGTTCAGTTTTTGTTTTCTTTTTTCTTCTCAGATTTTGTGGTTGGCATCAGTAATTAGTGGTAAATATGTAGAACTTGTGACAACAATACATGAACATTTATTAGAGTTTCTATGCAGTACTCATTTTTATGGGTCAGGATTTTAGGGCCTATGGTTTTCATCCAAGAGCAAGCATAACATTGTGAGTCAAAATTCATAGGTATTAAATTTGTCCCTTTTAATGAAAGAATATTATACAAGTTTTTCCTAGAGAAATCTCTCCTAACAGTGCCTTCCATACCACACATTTTCATGTTTTATTTTGAAAAGAGGCGGTGAAGAACATGTTTTTGATGTATTTAATAGAAATAGCATTGTCCAAATCAGAATTTCATTGTGAGAGGAAAAAAATGAAAGTTTCTTACAAAGATGGAAACCTGTTTCTCTGTTTGCCCCTAAAATGTTCTTCTCAGGAAAAATACATTCTTGAACAAACTGCTCTAAGAATTTATTAGTCTAAGAAATGGTATTTGTAGAAAGAGACTCAACAGTCTTGTGCTTTCTGTGGAAAATGCTTATCATGAATAACATTAAAGGGAACAAATCTGCTGAAATTTAACTCCTGTCTTTAATTCCAAGAATACAGACTATTTTTTTAAAATGAGAACTTGCTTGGTTAATTTTCATTAAAGTGATATGAAGAGATTCAAAGAAGATTCACATTTACCTGAGAACTCTAAAATGTTCAAACTGCGATAAGTCTTCTTCAGAAAAGACAGCTTGAAGGAAATCTACAAAACTATTTATCCTGAAAGTTTTAGAATTCTGAAGTTTATTAAAGAGTTTGAAAAATATCCAAGAAATAACGCTTTGTTTCCAGATTTGCCATAGCAAATATACTTGAGAGTCACCAAATCTTTCTTCCCATAGCATGGATATCATAAACCAGAGATTCTACGAGAAATCTAAATTTTGTACTCTGAAACATTCCATAGTAAGAATGCTTTGGAGTCAGAGGCCCTAAATTAAAATCTTGCATCTATCACTTATTATGTAATCTTGGGCAAATCCCAGACCTCAGGGCCTTAGTCTTCAACTCTAAAACAGAGGGATTGGAGGAGATGACCTCGAAGTTCCCTTTCATCTCTAAATGTTTAATCTACAATTTCATCTTTAAGAGGATTCTCATATATTCATAGTATCTTTTGGATGCCCATCTTATTGCTAAGTTTTGGCGAAGGGGAAGAGGGCAAAGATCCTCGTCACTGCAAGTTCATCCTAGAGGCAAAAAACCATCACTCTTGGTAATGGCATTTTTCTATAAGACCTCAGATACAAGTAATAGTTTATAAATACCCATTAAGCCGTTTGAGTCTACTGTGCAGTTTAAACTGTCGTTTAATTTTGAATTAAACGACAGTTTCTGCTTTTGGTAGGGCATACTTTCTCATGAAAAAGTGCCTTTCATATATCCTAGGCAGAGTGAATTTGCCTTTATTGCTTTGCCAACTTAGATTGGTTGTAATCAAATTTAGCCTGGTGTTTCTTGGAGTTTGAACTACATTGATCCTTCCACTGAGACTTTTAAGACCTTATGACATTTATATTCAGGCCTTCTCATTAGGTAAAGAGAAATCAATTGTTATTTTGGATCAAACTCTAGAATGCTCTCCTTCATTGGGATGGATATGTGTTATCATGTCAGATGAGATGAGGGCACTGACCTGGAGCTCAGGAAACAAAGCCAATATGAAATTTGCAAAATGGAGCTGGTGATGGTGATGAGGGCAGAAGTGGAGTTAGAAGGCAAATAAGCAAAAAGAAACTAATTGGACACGGATACCAGTAGACTCACCAAGGTAGGAATTCTCAAGGCCATGAAAAGAGGTCACAGGAGCTGAAAGAAGACTTGGTGAACAGAGAGCTTACACCAGCAGCAAAGAAAGATGAAGAGACTAAATCACCATACTCATCCTGATGAGAACTAGTCCTGAGCAAGCCTGGCCTAAAGGCGTATTGCTGGTGAAAATTGAAAACGGCTACAGATTATTAGAGGTGAAAAAGAAGTGCATAGTTCTTTGGTAGGAGCATTTCCCTGACAGTTGATCTTCTGATATTTTTTGACACTCTACTGGTTGTTTATAAATCGTATCATCATGTACCTTCCCAAGATTACATAGGATGACAGACATCATAAGGGTCCTAAGTGGTCTAGTGACTGAATTGTCTTGAATAGTTTAGTAGGAAATTGTTTATATCATCATTAGGACCATAAGAGATATTGATATGTACATGAGTGTCTTTTGATAAGACAGACACATGGTCCTATAGGTGGTACATGGAATGTATGTCTTAGAGTGGTTTAGAGATATTGTTGTCTCTTACTAAGTGAAAACATCAGGCACATACTATTATCTGTATTGATGACAAAAACAGCGATTACAAATGAAGGAATATTTCTAATTGAAATTTACTTCATAATGGTGGCATTTGTTTCCAAATAACATGGGTAAGTATTGACTTAGAAACTGTCTTGTTCCATTTGTTTTTTTTTTCCTGAAGTTATCTGTCCTAAGCCATCACGAGTGCTGTTTTTGCTCCCACTTTGACTGCTACAGAACATAATTATTTAGGACTACTATGTATGAGTCATTGTACTTAGTTCTACCCGTGGCTTCTATGAAGACTTTCATCTGCAACTAATTAAGCCTTTCAGAAAAGCATTTTCTCCTGAGGTTATCCTCTATGGCTAGACCAGCTTAAAAGTCACTTTATGCTATTCCATAACTATCTTACCTGCTTCCTAGTCTTCAGAAAGTCATATCTTTGACTGATGATTTGATGTGTAAGAAAGTGTTGGCAGAAATAAGTGCTCTTCTAAGGTTTATCTTTTAGTTACTATTTGAGAATACAAATAACCAGAAGTAATCACTCTACCTGTTTATTTAGTCCTAAAACAGAAAAAAAAGGAAAACACTATGAAAAGGGACAATTAAAAATGCCACCTATGGCATTTTTATAAAAGGATTGAAAGAAAATACACACATTCACTTCCTCAAGATGTTCCTTCCCTCCCAATTGAGAACACAATAAAAATAAAACTCATTACAAACTTAAAAAATAAATTAAAATGTTCATATTGGCCATGTCCAAAAAAAATCTCATTCTTCCTTTAAGTCCTTTGTCTCCTTTTCATAAGGTGGTTAGCGTATTTTATCATTAGTCCTCTGGAACTGTGGTTGTTCATTATGCTGGTAAGAAATCAGCACATCAGTCTTATATCATAACTTGTTCATCCATTGCCCATTTCACAGGCATCCCCTCATTCCCATTCTTTGCCACCTTAAAGACCTATAAATATTTTGTCCATGCTTAGTTTGTTTTGCTTAGGACTATTCCTTAATCTTCTCTTCCTCAAATTTTCCTTCCCCACTTCTTCCTTTTCCCTTCTATTTTGCTGTTGAGTGAAGTGTATTTCTTCAGATGAAAATGTGTTCAAGTGTCAGCCAATATCCTCCTTATGTGTATAGATGTCTACTTGCATACCCTGATTATGTGAGATAATTTTCCCTAACCTTCCTTTTCTTTCCTGCCACCTCCTGTGTATTCCTCTTCCCTTTTCCATTATTTTCTTAAGATCACCTAGTCCTAACAGAACTATTCCCAGGCCTTGTCTAATTGTATTTTTTGTGTGACCCATAACGATTAAAGAATTCTGAAGTCACGTAATGTGTCATTTCCTCATATCTGAATGTAAGCAGTTTATCCTTGATTAGTACTTTATTATTGTTTGTTCATATTTACTTTTTTATATTTCTCTTCACTCCTGTGTTTGAGCTTCAAAGTAAAGCCATATCCTTGCCTTCTGGAATATTATATTCTAATTTATCCTTTATAGTGGTGGCTGCCAAATCACGTGTGATCCTGACTGTGGCTCCTCAGTACTTGAATTCTTTCTTTCTGGCTGCTTGCAGTATTTTTTCTTTGTTCCAGAAACTCTTGATTTTGGGGTAATGTTCCTGGGAGTTTTCATTTTGGAATTTCCTTCATCAGGTGACCAGTAGAGTCTTTCTACTTTTACTTTGCCCTCTGGTTCTAAGTGATCTGGTCAATTTTCTTTTAAGTTTTCTTCAAATAGGATGTCTAGGCTCTTTTTTGGGGGGTCATGGATGCCCGTTTTTCAGTTCAATTCTTTTTTCCTTACCTTTTTTTCTATTTTTTCAGTTCTCTTTGTTTTAATATTTCTTGTTGTCATAGCATTGGCTTCTATTTGGAGTATCCTAGTTTTCAAGGGGTTAGTTACTTAAGCAAGATTTTATATCTTTTATCAAGTTGTTAATTCCCTTTGATGGCCCACAGGAGAAAGTGAGGCTCATGACTTTGCAGAGACCTCCCTCACTTAAATTCAATTCATTTATAAGTCATGGCATCACCTCCCTGATGTCATGGTCCTCTTAAAGAATGAAGAACAAACAACAACAACAACAATTTCTTTTCCAATTTTTTCTTCCAATTTTTTCTTAATGTAGTCCTTTAAAAATTCTAGGTGACTTTTTTGCTCAGGCTCTTAAGACATTGCTTGTAGTGTTTTGGAGTCGTTTTCTTCTGGGTTTGTGTCTGGAGCTTCCCTGCCACCATATTGGTATTTTATGGTGGTACTCTTTTTGTTTGCTCATTCTTTCAGCTTACTTCCTGACTTCAGACTTGATGTTAGGGCTGGGCTCTGTGGTTTTTTTCTGGAGGGAAGGTCTAGGCTGGTCCTGTTGCTGCTTTTTGGGGGTGTTAGAGTGTTGTGTTGTTATTCCAAGATCTCAGGGGCAGTCTGGAGACTTGAAAGCTTTTAGTACTTCGATTATAGTCTAATCAAGGGCAAAACCTGATTGCTACCTACCCTGGTCTGAATTCTACAAGTTCCTGGGTTTGGGTTTGAGCAAGAGTAAACTGCTGCTGGATTCACCTCCCTTTGGTCAATGGAAAGCTCTGGTGGATTCCTCTTTAGTCTTGAATTCCTGCCCTA